TGATACCACTCGTATTAAAGGGAGACAAGACGTGTATAAAAAATAATTAATTAAGTTATATTTGTTTGAATTTAAAATGGCTTATACTTAATTGGTTGAGCTTTTTCTTTTTGTGCATAGCTTAAACGAAAGCATTAATAATATTGATCGACATTTTGTGATTATGGTTTTGTTGAACAGGCTATTTCTCTATGAATCCAATAAAATCCGCGGCTATAGGTAGAATAACTTAAATCGCTGAATCTTTTTCTAAGGCTTTTTAACTTTTTTGTTAAAAATATATAATTTACTGACTAAAATAAATACCTCTCAAACAAATATAAAATAATTTACTATCCACGTACTTATGATATTTGCAAATGTGTCCAACGAAGCTAAACATCTCAAGAACTTCGTAAGTATCCTCGAGTCTAAGACTGCAGTTCACTGACCTGAGCGAACTTACAAAGGGATGAGGGATGCAATGAGTGTTTTATTTATATAGATTATCTCCACCTTTTCATTTTATTTCTTCATGTGTATTTTTTCTCAAGTGGTCTGAGGACTGTAGTGGAATATTTTTGATGGGTTTGGTGTTTGTTTGAATAGAATTCGTTTGAGTCTAAAATTTTGCTTCGTTCGGTTACGTCTCTAGGTGCCTAATGCTTATGTGTTACATCAAATTTAATACTATTTAAACACCTACTACCTACTAAATTCTAATTAAATACCTACTACCTACTAAATTTCATGCTAATCAATCCAGCCATTTTGGCGTGAAACATACAATCTTTGGTTTTTTGTAATAATACTAGTCCGTTAATTTATATTAAGAAAATACAAAAAATTAAATTGTGTCTGGGTATTTTTCCGAGATTGTGTTCTTCGTTAGATTTATCTGGCCAAAAATGATTAAAGACATGCCAAATATTATTACTTTAATCATAAGGGTATGTTGAATATAGCCAAAAATGAAAATAATTTTTGGCCAGATAAATCAGACGAAGAACGCAATCTCGGAGAAATACCCGTTTATCTTATAAGAACCGTATATAATTTCATATGTATAGTAAAACGCTATTATTGTGACATTACATATAGACACTTTAATTTCATTTATCTGTAAAGATTATACGAAACATTAACAAAGCTTACATTCATGGTATATAATGTCCCTCTTGAAAGATTTTAGCCACAGCAACCAATCTTGCCAAGGCTAGCCATCTATAGGAGTTATTATAGAACACAAGTGGGTGCGCAAACACAGGTGCACTTAATACCCTCCCTCTCATGGATGGGTCGGCAACCTGATATGTCCAGAGGGGAATCTACAGGACTAACGCTACGGTTTTATGTACTCTTAAAAGTCATGGGGTTGTAAACATAACACCTTTAATGACAAGTCGATAAGTTTTTATCAAGAAATTGTTAGAAAGAGCTGTTCCTAATATTTTTTAAAACTCCATGACTTGTAATTATTATTATTGTTATTATTTATTGTTGTTGTATGTTTTTTTTTTAACTATCAAATATATATGTGTACTTATATTTCATTAGATAAGTCATATGACTAAACTTTCTTATTATTTATATGACCTTTAACATTCACTCTCAAAATTAAATTAAATAATGCTAAGCAATCGTCATAGGGTTAAGATGTCTACTAAAATTGTGCTTATTTATAGGACCGGCAAAAAAAAAATGACAAACGGACAGGCAATCTGGGTCAAATCAGGGTTCTGCAGTTGCCTATAACAATATTGAGGACTAAGAAGAGCGCTTTTTGTAGGGACGATTTTATTATTGTTTCTAAACTATGCTGCGGACAGACGGACGGAAGTATAGACGGACATGGCGGAACTATAAGAGTTCCTAGTTGTTCCTAGTTGTACGGAACCGTAATTAAGGCAATTGTGTACAAATACATACATTTTCACCTATTAATCTACATTCTACTGCGATGAAACTTTGGGTGAATATATGATAGGTATTTACGGACTCTTGTTGGGCCATTTAAAATTTACTACTGCATTCAACGGTAAACAATAACGAAATATGTTTCTTTAAACCTAGACCAAGTTAAGGCAGATCATTAGTATTTAATGTAAACAAAAGGTAGTGGTAGCCCAGTGGTAACGCGCTCGCTTGGGAAACCGAGTGAAGCGGGTTCAAATCCCGGGACTCGCACCTCAGAGGTATATTTTCATGTGCGAATCATTTTTTACTTGATTACCACTTGCCTCACGGTGAAGGAAAATATCGTGAGGAAACCTGCATGTCTGAGAGAACCTAGCAAGTTTTCGTAAGACATGTGAAGTCCGCCAACCCGCACTTAGCCAACGTGGTGGACTATGGCCTGATCCTCGTATTGAAGGGAGGTCCGTGCCCAGCAGTGAGACGTTAAAAAGGGCTGAATACAAGTAAACAAAAGCTATGTAGATAATTCCACCGTAATACATCCTATCGAAATACAACCCTATCTATTGATATTGGAGTTTGCACTCCGCAGTGAGATCAGATTGTTGCTATATCTTTAAAATTGCACGTCATTGACTAACGAGAGTGTCAATTAATATACTCTCGGCAGATCGATACTGTATGCGACGCTTTTAGTTATTAATATTATATAATAGGAGCCCTAGCTTCCATTACGCTTCAATTACTTTTAATACCTATAGATGGATGTTCATACATTGCAGATTTTATGATAAAACTAGTTTTTGTCTGCGGCTTTGCTTGCGTGATTGTTGGGGTTATAATTTTTTTTTAATTAAATTGAAATTTACCTGCAAATAAAGCACATGTCATTAGTGTGATATATTTATGTTTTCATATTTGTATTGGGATTAATAACAAGTAAAAATGTCCACAGACGATAGTAAACTATTGTTCATGAAGGTCTCAAATACTTCTTAATGATTATAATATAATCATCACAAAAAAATATTAAATCGTTCAGAATAAAATATTAATCGAGTTATTTCTAGTGCTCGTTTTGACTAACTTAAAAAAGAGAGGGTGTTTGATTATGCCGCTTTCTAACATTTCAATATTATTACGATGTTTTAGAATAAAGGGAAAGAAACTCTGTATACGAAATAAAGAACAATGAACTATGTATATATAAACATGTATATAACATAACATAAGGATGTTCGCGAGATAGCGGGCGCCAGGAAATGGGACGCATCATGAATACCCGGGATGTCAGCAATTGTGCAAATATCTCGCATCTCCCTAGCATTTTGATAAGAATTAAATCTGTCGGAAGATTCGCCTGGAGAAATGAGGGCTGATTAAAGAATCACTAACGAGGTGATATTAGTACTGCTCATTTTCTAGGTAGGGGGTTCGATTTTTACTTTAAGTAAATCAAACACTAATCTTTTGTATTTTGACCTTTTCTTGTTAGAAGATTTGATGGTGTAGTGCCATTTATAAAGCAGTAGGTACTTATCTTGTCTAACGAAAAATATTGTTAAAAATTACAATATTTATAATTTCACTAACGACTCACCTTCGCTCCGCTTGGATTCGTCCCTATTTACGTTTTAACGTTTAGTATAGATTTCTCAGAGGTATTTTCCCGCAGAATCCCGTTAGAATTTTATTATATGTATAGATAAAACGAAAAAATATATAGATTTCATTATTTATCATTGAAGAATATCAGGGACTGAACACTCGTTTTTGATTCCATCTGAGGTAAATATTAACGTGTCCAATACAAACATTCGACACTATTAGTAGCAGAAGTAGTAAGTAGTTCATAAGCCGATTCTACCGGAAAAAGTTGCTATATGTCAAATTTCAATTTCCTATATATCAAAATTCTCAATACTTTATAGTTTTTCGTCTTATATTTATTTACCAACTAATGTGGTGGTCTTTGGCTTTTATAATATTCCCACATTCATTATGAAATATCACTCAATTTTTTATAAATACATACCAGTACCTATCAGAAATTATAACTCCACTTTATGCCTCTAGCAACAAAAACATAGAATTTCATATTTTCATTTTACTCCCTTAAATTTTATTAAAAAGTAGCTTATGCCCTTCTCAAAGATGCCATCTATTTCTATATTACTAAAATTAATCAAAATTGAATCAGCGAGTTTTTTAGTTGTGAAAACGTAACAGACAGACAGAGTTTCTTTAACATTTATAATTTGAAGAATGAATTGTTAATATATCTATTAGTTTTCGTATAGTCATTATAAAAGAATGCAAGTGAAGTCGTGTACAATAACTAGTCTACGTACCAAAATCACAAAACTACAGTTTATCCGACGGTATTAAACGTAATGGGCAACATTCATCACAACGGAGCCTTATCTCTTTGCAGCTCGCTGTCAGCATTCCCTGACGCTAGCCATTGTGCACATCTCTCATTTGATGGTGTGTTTTAGCCTTATTTGATACCCGAATATGAATTTTAGGACTATAATATAATAGCCTTTGAAGTGTGAACTTAAATTTGGTAGCTATTATTTGGAAATTATTAAAAAAAAGCAAATATTTGCGTTTCATCTCTCTTATTTATTTTTTATTTTTATTACATAGGTAACACAGCATACATTTTTACAATTGTAGATGTTATATATATACAAAAGAAAGATCTAGACCAGCTATACTCAACCTGCGGCCAAATTTTTATATATGTATACCTTGGTCACGCCATCATGCGTGAACGGCTGAACCGATTTAACTATATTTTTTTTGTTGTGTTTGTTATTGTCAGGAGAAGGTTCATGAAAGAAAAAAAATTAAAAAATTGCGCGGAAAATTATAAAATTTAAGAATACTTATTTAAGAATACTTAACAACCATATTAAAATTTATATGGCTAACGCTGTGTGATAACTATTTATATATATTTAAAACGTACCTAGCGACGAACCCGAGCGAAGCAAGGGTGAGTAGTTTGTTTCAGTATTCAGACTCTCTTACCAACAGTTTATCATTTTAATATGTTAAAGCGATAAGATTTGTTTATCTATTTGTATAAAAATGCAATGTCTCAGTCATTATTATCTACTCGAATCACCCGACTCGACATTACTATGAGTTTTATTGGCAAAGTTGTGTTAGTTACTGGCGCTAGCTCGGGAATAGGAGCTGCAACGGCTGCTGCGTTTAGCTCTGAGGGTGCTCGTGTGGCTTTAATTGGAAGAAATGTAGCGAAACTTTCTGCCGCCGCCAAAAAATGTGACAAATCTTTGGTAATACGCGCCGACGTCTCTAAAGATGAAGATTGTAAAAAGTTGATTGATCAAGTGATTGAAGAGTTTGGACAATTGGATGTCCTCGTTAACAACGCTGGAATTTGAACTTGGGGCAGTATGTTAACGGGAGATGTAATGAAAGCGTATGATGATGTCATGAATGTTAACGTCCGAGCTGCTATATATTTGACAAAGTTAGCTGCGCCATATTTGATTAAAACTCAAGGTAACGTCGTCAATATTTCCAGTGTTTTAGGAGAAATGCCATCTTCAATACCACCTTTGATGACTTATTGCATGTCTAAAGCAGCATTGAATCATTTCGGTCAATGTGCAGCGGTGGAACTGGCACCTCATGGAGTTAGAGTTAACACGGTTAGTCCAGGACCTGTTGAGACTGATATCATTGAAAATTCAGGATTCCCAGGAACATGGGATGATTTCAAAAAGGGTACAATTTTAGATAGAGTGTCAGATCCTGAGGAAATAGCGGATGTCATATTGTTTTTAGCTAGTGACAAAGCCAGAGGAATCACTGGTTCAAATTACTTAACTGATAACGGCACTTTGTTAAAACGATGATAATAACTACCTACTACTACTAATAATAAAATATAAATAAATAAAAAATAATGATGACCACCCTCCACTTTTGTTTTTATATCTGTTTTTTATATAATAAACATTGTATAAAGAATTATTTTAAGGAAGATGGTCCAGAGACTAAATTTATATACAGTATTACATAAATGGGTGATAAATAAATAAATATATGGAATGCCGTTCGATGTTAAAGAATTTTGCACCAAATCCAAACAAGTATTATATACATTTATTTCGTGTATCTCGGAAACGGCTCAATTTTTTTTATCATGTATTTAGATAAGGTTTTGCTTTATAAGTTTATCTATAAAGGTGTATATTAAAAAATGTATTTTTATATCTTTTCCGAAAAACGCCCAGGTGTTAATTTAGCATAGTAATAGGTAATAGTCACAAAAATATATACTTTTTAATGTGAATTTCTTAAAAGGAAATATATACAGATGACGTATGAATAAAGACAATAGAAACCAGTAGATTTTTTAATAATATCAAAAGCAAATCGTAGGTAAAGATAAATGTTTGTGGCAGTTCGTTTATCAGCTATCATACATGAATGCAGTCGTAACGTGGACATTTATCACCGCCCGGATTATTTCGATGCAATATGCAGTCATTTGCCACTGACAGCGAATATATCAACTCAAATGCCAAATATAGTTTACTCAAAATGATTTTTGTGGTTATCTATACAGATAAATAAAATTGAAGTATCCGTCTGTCTTCACAATAATAGCTTGCATGTATGCATTGTATGTAAAAAATGCGTATAAAATAAATAATTTTATACTGTACTTATAGAATAAAAACAATTTTTACAATTTTTATGTCTGTCTATGTCTGTCTGCTTGTTCCGATTAATCTCCGAAATGACTGGACTGATTTTCACGGGACTTTCACTGACAGATATCTGATGTTATAAGGAGTAACTTAGGCTACTTTTATTTTAGAAAAAGAATCAGAGTTCCGCGTTAAAAAATAAAACCCATGAAATTGTGAAAAAAAAACCGCGTAACTAGGGACGCACCCGAGCAAAGCGATGGTAAGTCGCTAGTTTATATAAAAATTTTACTTAATTACTTATTTATTTTGAATGAAAAGAGTGAAATAGAGACTGGGGGAGAGAGAGGGAGAGAGAGAGGGGGAGAGAGAGAGAGAAATTTATTTATATCATATATTTATATTTATGTTTGCTAATTTTATTATTTTTGTAACAAAAATATAAGTAGTGAAAATATGTAATTTTCCTCTTCATAACTAGTCAGTGTGTAGACTCGTGAACATGCATAATTAGTTGGTATATTGTATATAAATCTCAACTGACATTTTTTTTGTTTATTTATTTTTGCCAAAAAAGGCAGTGGTAGCCCAGTGGTAACGCGCTTGCTTGGGAAACCGAGTGAACCGAGTTCAAATCCCGGGTCTCGCACCTCTGGTATTTTCATGTGCGAATCATTTCCAACATGATTACCACTTGTCTTAACGGTGAAGGAAAACATCGTGAGGAAAACTGCATGTCTGAGAGAACCGAGCAAGTTTTCAAAAGACATATGAAGTCCGCCAACCCGCACTTGGCCAGCGTGGTGGACTATGGCCTGATCCCCGTCGTATTGAAGGGAGGCCCGTGCCCAGCAGTGGGACGTTAAAAAGGGCTAAGTATATTTTTGCCAAAGAACTACAAAGTTCGTACTTCGTCCTATTAGTAAATTATTATGAAGAATTTTCAGAACCTGATCAGTAGTTTTTGAGATTATCCCCTACATACAAACTTACACATTTTATCTCTAATATAGTAGTGTAGATGTATAATAGAAAAAGACTAGGAGGATGACGTTACTTAAAGTAATTGATCTATCAAAAACAACTTGCTGAATCGAAATAAGATAAAAACGCTGAGTCGCCACCCTACTTGGGATCTACGCCAAGACATTATACGGTATAAACGTACCTAACTGTGGCAATGTAAGAATACTTTTGTTATTACGCAATGTTATTTTGTTATTCTATGTGAAATAAGAACCATACTGAGCTTCATATTATATTGACGACACGTTTGGCTCAGTTTGTAGTGATCCTACTTGCTGTGCCAGCGGTCGTGGGCTCGAGTCCCGCTTGGAGCATTCATTTGCGTGATGAGCACGAATGCTTCTACTCCAGTCATGGGTGTTTATATTTATAACATGTATGTATTTAAAGTTATATATGTATAATGTATCAACTATCTGGTATCCATAACACAAGCCTCGTAGCTTACCATGGATCTAGATGGCTCTGTGTTAATGTCCCAATATATTTATAGGTTTAGATTCCACCAAATCAGTAGTTTTTACATTGTAGTAAGGTCGATCGTATTAAAGGTACAATATATTATAGTACATTCAATATTTCTTTTTAAAAATATATTTATTATTATACTTAGTAAATGAAATAAAAATTGACTTGATTTTTGATTCAATTTGAATAGATTTTAATATTTTTTAATGACTCCATTACACCCTTATACATTTTAAGAACAAAATTAAACTAATTTATAATGTTTGTCTTTATGTTTAATCTGAATGTACACGGAGTTTAATTGGGCTTATATTATATAGGTAATGCTAAGAATAGAAAGTTGAGAGTAAGTAGTTTAATTATAATTGACTAGCGACTCACCGTCCCTAGGTTGATTCCTCATACAAATTTTCATCCCCATTTTCATCCTCTTAAGGGGTGGTTTCCGGAATAAAAAATATCCTATGTCCTTCCCAGTGTCTTAAACTATCCTCTCACAAAATTTTATCTAAATCGGTCTAGCAGTTTTTGAGTTTATTCGTTACAAACATAGAAAAATACAAATCTTTCCTCTTTATAATATTAGTGTAGATAGAGTTTGTAAATTCAAATGAATATATGTATCTTTACCAAGTAGGGGATTACCAGAAAATAAAACTGTAAGATATGAAAAAATCAAAAAGCAAAGACAAGCTGTGTTGCTCGAGTTCAGCATCACTCGTTATATTAAGCCCGCTAATAAGTAAAAATAAATCTACCTTAAATTTGATTCAAGGATTAAGTGGGAGGGCAAGGAACTCGAATGAAAGCTCGTAATGACTGCCTTGACGTCTGCGCCTTATTTATTACATAGGTCTATAAGCAAGAAATATATCTCCTTCTGTATATAACATATTTTTAATATTAATAATTTTAAAAAGCTACGAGTATATCATTAAAATATTTTGCCACATCTAAGGCAATGCTTTTTTGACATTTTTTTAATTTTCTAGATCTTACATAATAATATTTTAGTCCTCCCACGGCTTGGCATAGTTTACCTTCAATGAGACCTACCATCAAGGGAATTAGGGCATAGTCCACGCTAGCCAAATCTGGATGGGTGGACTTCATGTCTTCAGAAAACTAATTAGAAATCCTTTACAATATTTTTTTCACCGTATGATATACAAAATAGCAAATGGTAATAAAGTTGAAAATAATTTGCATATGAAAATCTGTGCCTGTTATCAAAAGCTATAACTGCTATATTTTCTGCACAATATTCTGTGTAAATAATTTGTGATAGCAAAATGTATATTGTTTAAGCGAGTAAGGTCCGGAAAATCAATGTGACGAAGAGCGCGGACCTATACATATAATGAAATTTTAACTAAGCCGAATCTGTACATTAAATATTTTTTGGGAAATCTTATTGAAATTATCGATACTAAGGCCGAATCTAGTCTTTAGAATTTTTGTCTTTCTACTGTCTGTCTGTGACCGCTTCAGGGAAAACCCATTGGAGGGATTTTGATGAAATTTGGTATGATGATAGCTATTTATCCGGGTCAATATATAGGATAGTTTTTACAGCGGGAAAATATTTCATCTCTGAGAAATCTATACTAAACGTTAAAACGTAACTAGGGACGAACCAGAGCAGGGAGCAGGGTGAGTCGCTAGTACTGAATATAATATTTTTATTTTGTTTTTGTAAATTTGAATGTTTTAACCAAAATGCAAATGTTCACCTAACTAAACGAAACTAAAATAACAACTAAATTGTACACGTATCGATCAAATAGCTGGTATTGGGGTGTATGAGGGTGGTCAAAAAAGCGTATCGTTAGTCATCGGTCCATGTCTGGCAGGAAGTTATTGTTCCGACTACGCTATTGACTGCAATGCACTGTAAATATAAACACTACATTTATATATCCCACGGGAACCGCACATTTTTTTGGGATAACAACTAACCTATGTGTTATTCCAGACTATATTATATATATATATTCTCTTTGCCTTTTATCTAGCTCCGTTCAGCCGTTCTGGCGTGATTGCGTAACAAATATTATAATTTATATGTATAGTATATATTAATGGGATTTCTTGCGAAGATGTACTATACATGACAAAAGCTAATCTATACCCTGATAATTCCTGTAGAATATCTGTTGCAAAGTTGTTTAAATTTTGTTTTCTCTTCGGAGACTTTTCGGGAGTCAATACATCAAATGGGTTTGCGATATTGATGAAAAATATATATGTTAAATAATAACTAGATATTGATTTTTCTTTTTCTACTTACATATTATATTAAGACTAATTGGTTAATTCACCACATCCTAATCAATCACAAATCATAATAATATATTTAGCCTTTTTTAACGTCCCACTGCTGGGCACGGGCCTATCTGCAGTACGAGGGGGAGGAGGGGGATCAGACCATAGCCCACCACGCTGGCCAAGTGCGGGTAAACTTGACATGTCTTTCGAAAACTTGCTAGGTTCTCTCAGACAAGCAGGTTTCGTCACGATGTTTTCCTTCACCATAAGATAGGTGGTCTTGGTCAATCATGTTAGAAACGATGGCACATTAAATATCAAAAGTGCGTTCCAAAGCGATATATTCTGCCTCCTATCTTAAATATATATACTGCGTTCTATTATCGTAATAATGCATGTAAATAATCCGACAAATCACGAAAAGCCTGGAGTAG